CAACATCCTCCAGCATGACCGGTTTGGCGGTGGGTCAGTAATGGTGTGGGGTGGCATTTCTTTGGGGGGCCGCACAGCCCTCCATGTGCTCGCCAGAGGTAGCCTGACTGCCATTAGGTACCGAGATGAGATCCTCAGACCCCTTGTGAGACCATATGCTGGTGCGGTTGGCCCTGGGTTCCTCCTAATGCAAGACAATGCTAGACCTCATGTGGCTGGAGTGTGTCAGCAGTTCCTGCAAGAGGAAGGCATTGATGCTATGGACCGGCCCGCCCGTTCCCCAGACCTGAATCCAATTGAGCACATCTGGGACATCATGTCTCGCTCCATCCACCAACGCCACGTTGCACCACAGACTGTCCAGGAGTTGGCGGATGCTTTAGTCCAGGTCTGGGAGGAGTTCATCAGGAGTTCATCCGCCACCTCATCAGGAGCATGCCCAGGCGTTGTAGGGAGGTCATACAGGCACGTGGAGGCCACACACACTACTGAGCCTCATTTTGACTTGTTTTAAGGACATTACATCAAAGTTGGATCGGCCTGTAGTGTGGTTTTCCACTTTGACTTTGAGTGTGACTCCAAATCCAGACCTCCATGGGTTGATACATTTGATTTCCATTGATAATTTTTGTGTGATTTTGTTGTCAGCACATTCAACTATGTAAAGAAAGGAATATTTAACTTCAATATCTTTACAAGCGGAAAGGAGCTATGATAAGTAAACACATTGTTTAGTCGTTGCTGCACTCAATGGTGTCAGTATGGCGTCTCTCCACAAGCATATTTTTATCTCTGCTTTGTCCCCAGGTGCAGGTCCTTCACCTTAGTCACTGTTGATTGTGGTGACAGCAGCCAGGTTGTTTTTTTCCACAGCATAGACCTCTGGCTTGAGTCCATAGTTTTTGATAGTATAATATTTTCCTTCTTCAACCTGATCTGCCAATACTGAGAATAATACAAATTTAATTACAGTGCTGCTGTCACAAATTACAGATACAGTTTTCTTGTGGGTAGTGAAGAGCTTGGCATCACCATCCACAAAATTTGCCACATTAATTGTCTTACTCAAGGCAATGACCTTAATGGTCATCTTAGGGAGTTGGTTATAGGGTGTGGTAGGGGTCCCAAAAGCTTTCTGAAATGCCATTCTGAAAATACTCAACACAGAAAATACAGTTTTTAGATGCAAGGTAACATTCATTTAGTAACATACCAAAAACACCAAAACATCTTTTATTTTTTCAGTAGATTATGACATATAGAGGATGACATTTTGTTAGCCATAAACAGTTACACCTATGGCTATATGCTGTGTGTGTCTCTAAAGTGACCATTCAGACAGTAATGTCACTAAACATTGGCAAAATCAATATAAACATTTGCTAGGAAAATAATGAAAAACAAATATCTTGACACACTATATTAAGAAAACACTATTATTGAAGTTTATAATAAAATTTAACAACTCTCTGGATAAAGCCATCAAGTTCTTAAAAGAGCTCCAGTACAGAAAAAGGAACAAAGGACATAAAAATGCAACATTTTGGCAGGTCTAGAAGCAGAATGGGGCTCCTCCGGTCTTGATTCTGCAGACAGGGAAAAAGCATGAGCACGTCTTTCAAACACTGCCAGGTTGTTCACCAGCCAGACAACAGCACAGCCCTATTAGTAAGTAAAAAGTAAAAGTTACCTGGCATTCTTTAGCGGACCCAGTACAGCTTCCATCACCTGTTATTGACCAGGGGCCTCATGTATAAACGCTGCCTACGCACAAAAAGGTTACGTACACTGGTTTTCACGCACAGGGGGTATGTGTAAAAATGAATGTGACGTGAGAATGTGCGAGCCGAGGCGCAAACTCTTGAGCTGGTGTGAACTTTTGTCTGGCTCTTTTAGTGAACTCTTTTTGCCAAAACTCACCAAATGTTTCAAAATAGCATTTCCACGCCAGTTACTGTGCATATGTCAATGAAGCAGTCAATCAAAAACCTATTTATGTCTGTTAATACACAATGAAAGTTTGATCATTTATATAGTGGTATCATAATAAAATTGAATGTTAGAGGAATAGATAATAATGGCTCTCACATATTTAATTTCACTTCATATCACATGTTATTACTTTATTATTTAAACATTCAAACCAGCAGTGTTATTTGTGCTGGCGCTAGTTTGCCATAACTATTCAATACTACACCTTTCAATTGTAAAAGAAATAAAATAAGCCAAATTAGTGCCAAATCTTAAATCAAAGGCCGCTAAATATTTCATCAGCCATAACCCCCCGGAGCGCAGGGGAGCGACATTAAAAACTGTGCTCACTAGCAGGACTAACATTAACGTTGTGGTATGGCTGTGTTCATTGTATGGCACAATGGCACTGCGCTGTAAAAATGTTGTGCTTTATTATGTACATGTTACATAATAAAATCAGTACGTAAAGTAAAGACAATTGTTACATTATATTTCTGGCAGCAAGATGACCTATGTGTGAAAACACAGTTTTTGTGTGTTCATGAAAGCATGCCACCCATGCCACCCATTGTGAGCATTGTGAGATGTGTTTTTAATAGTTTTGGGGCAACAATGGAGCTCTATGACACAGAGAAATACGACGGCATGGACCACAGACAAAAAGAAGAAGTGGCTGATATCAAGAAATCCTACCAGTGGCTGGAAAAGGCTGGACTAAAGGACAGCACAGAAGCACTAATCATGGTGGCAAAATAACAGGCACTCAGTACAAGACACCTGGCAATCCAGGCTTTGGATATACCCACGCTGCTTTTAATTAGGATACTTTCATTGTTGGTATAGGCCTTTTCACAGGATTTGTTTACAATATAAACAAATATAGAACAATTACAGATATTTGTGTGATTGTGAGGCACATGGAGTAAATTACATGTTACTATCAATGGCAGAAACCTTTATTTAATGTTGATCTGATCCTCTTAATAAGATCTGTTTATGAAGTGGATAAAATCAGAAAATATGATGAAAAATGTCTTTCCTGAAACATGATAATTTATTGTTTCAGTGGATTGTAATGTATCTCAAGTGGTAACTGTAAATGAAATAACATAAACATGAATGTATTTTGAATGACTACCAAAAGCCAATGTTTGAATGTAGTCGATTTATATTACAGCTTCAGAACTTTTAAACTTGATGTCAAAATAAAAAATACATATATATATAAAAAAAAGCATTTCACTTGATTAAATGATTCATGACATATATTGCCACCCATATTTACACATGAAATATGAAGATCAATTTTAAAATTTCAGATTGAAGCATTCTGAAAATAAATTTTAAAAATGTATTTCAATACATTCACCAGTTTTTTACATATGTGAATAAATTACATTTCTGGGAACAATCCCACTTTGCAACGTTGCTTGCAACTCCAACAATCATTGAACAATGGCGCCATCTAGTGGATCAAATCCAAAATCGAAGTTCAGCCAGAAACAGTGTAGGACAGGGGTCCTCAACTACTTCTGTTCAAGGGCCAGAATTTCACTGTGAGGGCCAGACTTTCAACAAAAATGTTGTATGCAGGCTTGATTGGCATATTAATATATTAGTGTGTGTATTTACCCTACATCACTGTGAACAACATAAAAACATGGTAAATACATAATGATAACGATCCTATTTAATTAGAAAATGTTCTCAGACTTTAGTCAAGGAGGCTGTTCACTGAGGAGTGATAGTTAAAATCTGTAATTGTAAATCTAACTGCAGATTAGATTGTTCTGATTAGTTCTGATTGGCATGAAATATTAATCAACCCTTTTTTATGGTCTGGTTTTGAGGCAATTATGCATTTGAGACGTCATTGTGCATGTGAAACCTGGAGTTACTTCTGGTAACAGCAATGCGGTTTAATACTACAGTTCACAGAAATCTGGGGCAGCTAAACATTATTGTCTGGCAATAATTGGTCTTTTACCACAATTATGTGAGAAGTCATGATCTGACGTTATGCTGCACAAGACACGAGCCTGCAAACAGCGAAAGGGAAAGGACTTGGTTACCTGGCTGAGAAGGTTTTGTTTTGTGGACACATTTTTATGAACAAGAGCTGTGCCAATCCCACTCTACAAACACATTGCATTTCCTGTGACTCCTTTATAATAAAAGTCAACTCGTGTTTCCCATTTAAATGATTTTAATGTTTGCATTAGCAGTAACTTAATACAGCATTTGTCCCGTGAGTTTTGCCACAGATGCACAGTTCATAATACATCAAATATGTAGGCTAAATGTTGCAATACTTTCATCGATAGCCATTCTGCGGGCCGCCAGTTGATGAAAACTGGTGTAGGACCTGCAGCTTTTGAATTTTGTGTAGACTAAGGCTGCGCAAACTCAATTGATTGTAGAGTATAGAGAATATTTTATATCGAGCATCTTTAGAATATAGCTATAATTTCTAAAATTTTGCAGCTAATTTTTGAAATGTAGTTTGAGCCCATGACAGGATGCGCTATTATTCTTTATTCAAATTCTAACGACAGGATCAGTCAAGCTCTAATGTTAATTCATGTTTGGTTTTCTTCTACACATCCAAAATCTCTCACACACAGTCCAGAGTCATGCAGTCAGACTGTAAAGCAGCTGTCCTCCTGGTCAATCCTGGGCTCCATCAGAGCATCTAACCATGGATTATAGTTTTTTAAAGAATCCCTGCAACTTCATTTCAGAAAACCTCTCAGCTCTCCTGTCTATTCTTTTATTTGTTCAGTTGTGTTGTCTTTGTTCTTAGCTGTTATTCCTTCTATGTGTTCAGGTATTTGGCCAACAAAGCTGATTGTGATCCTCGGATGGAAAAACAAAGCTGCTTTGTGGGCGGAGTCAAAGGTTTGACTGCAGTGAGGGGCTTCAGGACAGATTTGGCACCGCCCAGTGAAACTAACTAACTCTGTTACGTCCGCAGATAAGAGGTAAATACCAAACGCAGCCGTCAGGCAGCAGACTCGACGCAGTCATCTGAAGAAGGAAATCCTGCATCATGAGTGGAAGAGGCAAGGGAGGAAAAGGACTGGGGAAAGGAGGCGCTAAGCGTCACCGCAAAGTGCTCCGTGATAACATCCAGGGCATCACCAAACCCGCCATCCGCCGTCTGGCCCGCCGCGGCGGAGTCAAGCGGATCTCCGGTCTGATCTACGAGGAGACCCGCGGGGTGCTCAAGGTCTTCCTGGAGAACGTGATCCGCGATGCCGTCACCTACACCGAGCACGCCAAGAGGAAGACCGTCACCGCCATGGACGTGGTGTACGCTCTGAAGAGGCAGGGCCGCACCCTGTACGGCTTCGGAGGCTAAACCTGATCCTGATCCTCAAACACAAAGGTCCTTTTAAGGGCCGCCCACTTCATCTAAAGAGTTTATCCTGTCCTTGCATTGCCTAGATGAATACAAAGTATACAGCGTTTCTCTTCTGTCCGGGTGACCTTAAAATACCTGGAGTGATTCTCTGCTGCATTACTTAAACTTTTCTCCTGGCTCCACTTAGTGTAAAACACTGAAGCAGATTCCATGTATGTTTAAACTTGCCATTACACAAAATGCTTGACACCCAACATTAATGTTGGTAATTATGACTTTCATTAATATGTGATGCCACTTAATTCCTACAACAAGTAATACCCAGGCTGGTATTGCTGATACAATACTTTTTACATATTTTATTTCTAGTTTAATGTAAATGCTCCAGCGGCTCACTTCAAAGAAGCTCTATCACAGAGCTGTGGAGTGAGCATGACTTTAACAGGCAGAAGGAAAGTATTTCCCATCAACCAAGTATAATTAGACCATCCTGGTGTGACGGTAAGATACTTATGATAAAACACACACTCACTCCAAATGAGTTTAGATATTGATCTTAGAGCAGGAAACAGTATCAGATATATTGATACTTTAGGATCCACCCACACATCACTACTGCACTTAAGAAAGATGTCAATTTGATCACAAACTTAGGACAGTCTTCAATAGTAAATTATGTGACTTGTAGGGCCGCCTTTCCCATTTCCCCCTAAAATTTCTGGTTTGGTTGTTCAGAAGGTCATATAGCATGCTGTAATGACAGAATATGTACTCATTATGTATAGATTTTTTCCCCCCACATAACCTTATTCCTTAATATCTAAAGGTATTAATAACCCACCATTCTGTCAGGGACATATTTGGACTTAATCAGTGGTCACACAGTGCATTTATTCATTAAGTAGCCTACATTGCTTAAGTCTTTCTTTTTCATGCCACTTTATATTTCTATTCCTCTAGGTTGCATATCAGAGGGGAATGTAGTAATTAGAGTTACTTGTCAAATTTCAATTTTTGCATAGGCAACATGTGAAGTCCTGAAAGTACATTTTGTTATATTTCAAACTTACACAACAGTTTACAAGTACAGCTGAAAGAGCAACTACTTTTCTAATTAAATATACCAAGCATGTCACGTTACCAGCTTCTCAAATGTTAGGATTTGCTGCTTCTCCTTTTAATGACTTCAATTTGTTGGTAAAGTTTAAGATGGAAAGCAAGCATTGTGAAGATGTCGCTCTGGGTAAGTGTGATGGCATTTCTCATTACTTTCAGAATGTTTACAAACCAAACAATCAATTTATTAACGGAGGACATAACCATCAGATTAATTCAACATGACCGTAATCATTAGTTACAGTCTGAAACAAAATAGTTGAAAATGAGCTCCATCTCAACTACAGCAGTAAAAACCTGCTTTTACATGACTGCATGAGTAATAATAATCTAAGGATGTGATAGTCTAACAGTCAAAGGGGCATTTTACTGCTGTGAGTAGCTATTTTTACTTTTAATACTTTAGGCTCGTTCAAAAAAAAAATAAAGTAATTCTTTATTCAATTTCAAACAATTCAAAGTATAGAGCATGTTTAAAATCATTAATTTTTATAAAAATAAGTGCTGGTGTTGTGCAATGAAATCCCTGTAAATTAATTTATAGTAGGGGCCCTTTCTAGCCTTGCCTCCTGTCTTTTGCCATTTGGTAGGATCGCCCAGCCAGAGAGCCTTCCTGGAGATGGCTGAGGAAACATTTTTTATGAAGGCTATTGTGAAGCGGATTGTTTTCCCATTTTTTCCCTTCTTCTTTAACTTCAATCAGTTTCTTCTCCCAGTTTATTTCACCACAATCTTTGTTACATATGGTCAGACCCAAGATTTTAATTTCCTGTTTAATTTGAATGTAAATGTCGCCCCTGTCGCTCTCCTCTTCAGTTTTAGAATGATTTAATTTTGCCCCAGATGCAAGCTCACACAGACTTAAAACATTAATTAAAGCTAATTAAAGTTAATCATTTCACCTTCCTGTCTTCTTTCTTTTCTCAGACGAATGTTAAGCGCTTTGTTGTGTGGCGCATGCTCAGTCACGTTTAAATCTCAGCCAATCCTGTACGAGGAACAGCGCAGTCTAATTTGCATCCAGCGCACAGAAATGTCCCGCCTCAGTGCCACAGGAATCATTCGTTGAAGCAGTAATCTACTCCTACGAAACTCACGATGCCTGATCCCGTGAAAGCGCCGAAGAAGGGCTCAAAGAAAGCCGTTTCTAAGAGCGTCTCCAAGACCGGCAAGAAGAAGAGGAAGACCAGGAAGGAGAGTTACGCCATCTACGTGTACAAGGTCCTGAAGCAGGTCCACCCCGACACCGGCATCTCGTCCAAGGCCATGCTGATCATGAACTCGTTCGTGAGCGACATCTTCGAGCGCATCGCCGGCGAGTCCTCCCGTCTGGCTCACTACAACAAGCGCTCCACCATCACCTCCAGGGAGATCCAGACCGCCGTCCGCCTGCTGCTGCCCGGTGAGCTGGCCAAGCACGCCGTGTCTGAAGGCACCAAGGCCGTGACCAAGTACACCAGCTCCAAGTAAACCCGCTGATACACCAGCAACACAAAGGCCCTTTTCAGGGCCACCCACTGTTTACACTAAGAGCTCTCTTCCTACTCGAACTAGCAATTTAACTAGATGCTCTGCAATAACTTTTGTATGATAAAACTTATTCCTGTAAAGCCCAGTAATCATGGTCGGGGTGGGGTTTTTTTTTTTTTTTTTTTTAAAAACCTCTGGCTAGAACATACTACTCATTTGTCCTACATGGGGCTGTGTGGACACAACAAAGTCTTTAGCCATGACACTTACCCAGTGCATCATAAGGTTCTACCATTGTGCACAGTATAAAATCAATAAATAGGCTAGTTTGATTACAAATGAATCAGGTGTGTGTAGAACATACCCAAAATGTTTTCATTCAACATGAACAAGTAATAATTACTATGTTACTGTATCTGTAGACGCGCCTTGCCCTGTCACTCTGAAATGGTCTCAAAATGTTCTACCTTCTCATATGGTAGTCTACTCTTGAAAGCAGTTCCTGGATGAGGTGAGACATCAGTCAACATTGCACTTGCTGCAGTGCAGTGGGGTCTTTCATCAGGACTTCTCTACATTGTTTGTGTATTGAGTCTCTCTGATTGCCCAGTGTGCATGTGTTTGAACAGGATGTATGAATTCACAATAGAAATTTCAACAAAATGGTAGAAAAGGGTCTTATACCATCTCATGGTCTTCCCTCAAACTGAGTAATATTGGATGAACGTATCAGCCTCAGCCTGCTGCATGAACGAAAGACTCCGAAGAGTGGTAAACGGATAGTTCATGTCTGCTCCACAGTAGCTGAGCTGTCACGTGAGAAATGAACGACTCAAACCTAGAGACCCACAGTTGAGAGTCGTGAACTAATCAAGTCTGCTTCCTGTGCTGCCTTCTTACCATGCACGTGCAGAGGGGGGTGCAACAGGTGCTTGAGCACCTGCCCTTTTGACCTTTGATGCCCAAAGTGCCCTTTTGTCAATGACAAATTTAATTAATTAATTTTTAAATTTGTAAAGGTCCTTTTGTGAAGGCCTGACAAGTCAAACTATTAGTAAATTAATTAATAATAATTCAGCAGTAAATAAATGACCCACGTGATGACCTTTCACCTCATGACCTCTTCCGTGACGAGCCCTCCCGTTCACACACTGTTAGTGATTCAGCAGCTCAGACTACAGGACACCTGTGATTCTGCCGGTAAGAGGGGTTTGCTGCCATGTGCTTGTTGTGGGTTGTTGGATGTATTTTACAAGAGAGACGCAAAGAGAGCAGCACAGTAGTTGTATATTGCTGTGTGTCGCCTGTAGAAGAAACGTTAGCTGTCGGCAGCTAACGTTACTTTTACACAGATAAACAAAGGTGCTCTGTTCACTTTGTTCTTGCTGTTTGAGGGAGAAAACTTTCACAGGGTCGCGAGGTATTGTATTTTTTATGTAATTTGACTAAAAACCTTTCACTTGAACTAGGATTATTAAAGTAACTTAATAAAAAACGTGTGCCTTAAAATAATTATAATTGATAAAACAGGTTTATTACTTATTCGTCCGAATTATAGCCTACTTAGCCCTTTTTAAAACGATCATTTAAATCAGAACAGTATTTGAATAGATTTAATAGCAAACCTATTATATGAACTAAATAACTGGAAATACATGTAATAATGTCAGTGTCAATATAAAATAAATAATATTCTTGACATCAAAGTACAGAGTGAAGAAGAAATGGCCCTATTAGATTTCAGACAAAGGTATGAAATGTTAATGTGAAGGTAAATGCTGCTCTGTCATGGTTATTATGGGCCGACAGAATGAACACACACAAACAAATTTTTAGATCTATGATTAGACATATAGTCAATCAAAATCCAAATATATCTCAGATTCACAATGCAATATATAAAATCATCACAATATTGCCTACACACACACACACACACACACACACACACACACACACACCTGTCTACAGATTTGTCTCACTCTTACCCCTGCCTCGGCTAATCTAGTTCTTTCTCCCAGTACTGTTTCCTTCCCAGATTATTTCCCACACTGTTTTGAACCTGGTATCTTATTTCCTCTACCTGCAGCTCTCGGTGTCAAAAGCAGCGCTAAGGTCCAGGAGTACCAGGACTGAGCACATGCCTTCATCAGCAGACATTAAAAGGTCATTGGTGACTTTAAGCAGGGCAGTCTCAGTGCTGTGGTACTTCCTGAAACCAGATTGAAACATTTCAAATATTTTGTTATTTTCCAGTACAGTGAGCAGCTGTTTGACACAATTCTTTCTAGAATCTTTGCAATAAAAGGCAGTTTTGAAATTGGTCTAAAATTATGTGGGAGGGAGGGATCTAAACCAGGTTTCTTTAAAAGTGGGTTCACGCAAGCCGTTTTAAAATAATCAGGGACACAACCAGTAGATAGGGAGCTGTTAAAACAGTGATCAAATGGGGCCCAACAGAATCTATTACTTTCAGCAAAAATTTGTAGGTATTACATCAAGTGGGCTGAAGGACACTCTCATTTGT